TGGAGGACAGTTGACAAAGTCGTTCGAAGTAAAGACCGGTGTCAGGCAAGGTTGCTTACTCTCACCCTTTCTCTTTCTCCTGGTGATCGACTGGATCATGAAGACATCAACATCTGAAGGGAAGCACGGGATACAGTGGATAGCTAGGATGCAGTTGGATGATCTAGACTTCGCAGATGATCTGGCTCTTCTATCGCACACACAACAACAAATGCAGGAGAAGACAACCAGTGTAGCTGCAGCCTCAGCAGCAATAGGTCTCAATATACACAAAGGGAAAAGCAAGATTCTTCGATACAACACAGAATGCAACAATCCAATCACAATTGACGGAGAAGCTTTGGAAGATGTAAAAACCTTTACATATTTGGGCAGTATCATCGATGAACACGGTGGATCTGATGCAGATGTGAAGGCACGGATTGGCAAAGCAAGAGCAGTATATTTACAACTGAAGAATATCTGGGACTCAAAACAATTAGCAACCAACACCAAAGTCAGAATTTTCAATACAAATGTCAAGACAGTTCTACTGTATGGGGCGGAAACCTGGAAAACTACGAAATCCATCGTCCAAAAGATACAGGTGTTTATTAACAGTTGTCTACGCAAAATACTTCAGATCCGCTGGCCGGACACTATAAGCAACAACCTACTGTGGGAGAGAACAAATCAGATCCCAGTGGAGGAAGAAATCAGGAAGAAGCGCTGGAAGTGGATAGGACACACATTGAGGAAAACACCCAACTGCGTCACAAGACAAGCCCTCATATGGAATCCTCAAGGTCGAAGGAGGAGAGGAAGACCAAAGAATACATTACGCCGAGAAATGGAGATAGATATGAGAAAAATGAACAAGAAAAGAAGGCCCAGGACAGAGTGGGTTGGAGAATGCTTGTCGGCGGCCTATGCTCCATTGGGAGTAACAGGCGTAAGTAAGTAAGCATGAACCAATCTAACTTTTGTGTAAAATGACTACACCCATTATCACTAATATCATTTCGTGACGAAACCTCAGCCATTCCTAAACATATATTCAATCCTAATGTCAAAAACGATTCATCAATTATAGTCATAATATCTTTTTATGATAAATCATTTCATGACTAAACGGTATGAAGTCGTTATCTAGAAAGTAGTTCATGATCGTTCATATGTTATTAGTTCCACCAAGAGATCTAAACTAAGTTTCATCTATTTATTTTTTATTTAATCGATGACCAACGATATTAATTCATGTTAATTTATTGTATGCTTATTAACTTTTTCATAATCTCATGTTAAGATTACTCATTTTTGTCTCTGTCTTTATGATAGTCATGTATTTTTTGTATAATACACTCACTTCCCACATGACACTAGTTGTTGTTAACGCTAATCATATACTTCTTCAGTGTTATTTTCGAAAACAAACATTTTACAAATTAATGTACTATTTTCTACTGGTTGTGGGGGGGGCGGGGCTTTGTAATGCCTGGTCCTAATATCGAGCCCGTATAGATTACCCTAGTTCCTGGACAAATTATTTATCTATTCTTCTTAAACCACATTTTAACCATCACTTATGGACTTATTCAATTTGATTGTTTTTATGTAAACGTGTGTACACTTCCTAACTGACTCATCACATATCTGTAATTTTTTGTTGTTGTCTGACTATGAATATCGATTAACGCCTGATTAAATCAAGTTGGCTCACTTATCTTCTCCATTGTGTGTCATTTTGTTTTGCTTTACTGTCCAATCAACGGTAGTATGAAATACACATATTCAAACTTCATTCTTATAATTGACTTATTTAGTTCCGTTATTCATTAACACAATTTTAGTCGATAAATATATATGAGAGTAGCAATGATGTATATTTCAACAGCAATCTATTCGTCCGATCGAATTGAAGTCGGATATAGGGCTACTATAGGATACCTGATAACGAGTAATTATAGAGTTGAGAGAATCTTAGAGATGTTGACCCTTTCGACTTATATGTAATCCGTGAATATAATTGTTTTAAGTTTTGTGACACCCATTTGTGATATACTTATTACAGTACTTCATTTAGATTTGTTTAATTCAGCATAAACATCTACAATATTTTGGACAGTTTATTTACCGTCAAAAACTGAAAATTATTAAATAACCACATACATAGAGTAAATGTACTACTCTACTCAAGTCACCTGACAATCGACATGATCTTTACGCGTCTAACATTTCGTAGAATTAACTGAATAATCAAGAGTTGTCATTACTGAGAATAACTTCACCATGTTAAGATATTTTGATTACTTGATATAACGCGTATAACTGAACACAAGAACGCCAAAACCCTTACAAGTCGCAAGGAGAAGACAGAAGACTAGTGAAAGGAATATTATTCCAAACAGTGTCAATTATGGGTACAAATTGTCAGGTATTTATAGTTTTTAGTAAGAACTAAAATCATCATTATAGTCCTCCAATCCACATACAGGGGGGTTATTAGCCTTGTCCAATCGGGAAGCTACACGTAGGAATTCTAGAATATTCTTCCTAACAGTGATTGGATGGAATATCTTCGGCTCCTTCTGAGCCTCTTATACCTTCCTCGAGTTTACCCGTGGTCCGTTTTCACAGATTTGTCATTTTCTTAAACCTTAATACTTTTCTGAGTATATTCAAAGATCATCTGCCAGGATGTAGATGTAAATTTCAAGTTTAGTGAAAATCGTAATAAGTTTAGTTATACGTTCATAATGATACATTTACTCGATGGGTTGAAACTTGTTTTATCCACATTTACAGTTGATAAAATCGAAGAGTGAAAAAAACAATGTTAGAATTAAATCAATAGTACCTAATTGAATACATGTTTAGTAACCAATGAAAGTACTTTAAAATACTTATATCATATCGACTTATACATCCTGTAACATGTGATCTAGTTCTTGTAAAATATTTTTATACTAATTTTTATCGTTATAATACCAATTAGTACCAAATAGTATTGATCACTTACTAATAAAGATCTATTTTCGGACAAAGAAATTTAACAGGTTAAACAAATAAAATACGACAAGCATCTTTTACTTTCATTTATTACTTAAAATGAATAATCAGTAAGATCTTTTATTACTACCAAGTGATCAATTAGTATTGAGAATGTTTTGCTAAAGAAGTTAATACATAACATTAAAGTAAGAATGTATAGAAATATGGATCGAAAAAAAAGCTAATTATTACCATGTACAACAATATAAAACTGAACACTGAAACTATCCCATATAGAAATCTAAACATAATTCCCTTAATGAACTATTCACCTCATAAATAAACTCTAGATAAATAGATGACATATGTATTATTTGCCTAGCAACAGTTTATTCATTAAAACAATTTAAGTATTACCTAATATTTAAATTCACTTGGTATTGTTTGTTTGAATCTTCTCATTGATCCGTCTCTTATTGGCATATGTGCATACTGTGCGTATTGCCTTGATTCACAAACATGATATGCAAAGATGGATAGTGGCTAGCAGTGGAATCTAAGATGTGAGTTTCGTCCTATTTGGGAATCGTCAGCTGGATGTACCCGTACTAAATAGAACGAAATGCGGGTCCTGGATTCCGCTGCTAGTCAATATTCAGTTTTATCTAATAGTTATTGTATCAAATCTTTCATATCTACACTACATTCTTAACTAAACAAAAATAAGGTCTTGAGAACTTTATGGTTTTGCATAATGTATATTCTGAAAAGAGAAGTATTATAGATTACCAAGTTTTTTTCTATAGCACTCTTTGTTAAGCTACCATAAAGTATAAATTGGATTTCAGTTTGTAAGAAACATTAATTAACACTAGGAAAACTTAGAAAATCAACCTCACGAATATCAAAAATATATGGATAAGATATCTCTATTGAAACTTACAAGATAAATGAGAAGTAGATAACAAAGATACTGCTGATCATATTCATCTCTGATATAAAGAAAAACTAAATGTTCAACAAACAACTAAGAAATATTAGAGAATAATTATCTCTAGTTGCCTTTATCGTAAGATTAATATAAAAACACTGAACAAATAGTACTGATGAGAACTAAAAATAGGTACACTTCATATTGAAGATAATTCTATAAACCTAGTACGTAGAATAACTTATCTAGGTAACCTATTTTTCAAACCTGCAGAATAAGTGCTTCAACAAAAAACAACTCGTTCAGATAAACTTGATAACTGCATCAAGATAGTAATCAAGGACAGGAATCAATAACCTTTATACACCGGAACAAAAGGTACAATAAGTAATTTATCGAAGACCAATAACTATTTAGAATACAAATGTATTTGCCTTTTTGTGGCGGGGGTGTTGGTTATGAAATTGAGAGGACGAAAACCGAATGCCCAGCGCCTTGACCGAGTTGGTGGATACGGAGAGTCCACCTAAGGAAGTTGGAAAACGCTGATTCCAAACCAATATTGTACATGGGCTCCAGGATCTTGAGAAAACAGATAGAATATGAACCTAACATTGGTCACCGGCTACCATGAGACTGCATCTCCTAACGTTGCTCCACTGCCTTGTGGATCAGACCTTTAAGTCAGTGGTTCCAAGTGCGGCCACCTAAGAAAACCATCCAGACAGTATTATAGTCCACACACAAATCAAGTGACTTTTGTGGCGAATATGTATCCCATGCCCCTTTTTACCGATATTTATGTTTTCAAATAAATAAATAAATAAATAATAAATGATGACCACTTGATAAGTAGAATTACGAAATATATATGATATAGCTTAATTTAATCTGAAAATGTAATGATACGAGAATATTGGTTCATGCACAATTGTGTCGCATGTTTATAATGATTATAACTGACCACCTTATTGTAATATAAATGAATAACTAGTCATTTCAATGGTTGAGATCATGAGTTAATGGAAGCTAGACCACCATGGAAAACTTGGAAGCATTAGACGGTCATTTCATCCTATTGTGGGATGTCCAATTGCTCCAGGTTTTCCATAGTGATCTAGCTTTAATTGACTCATGATCTCAACCATTGAAATGACTATAATATCCACAATAAACCATTCTGACACAAATTACTATTAGTTGCAAAAGCATATAGTACTACTACTACAACTACTCATCATCATTAGAAACTTTCTATAATCACTCAATAAAAAAAAGATTAGGAACTATCAATAAACTATATGTTTTAATGAATGATGAGTAAATTAACAATATGAAGAGAAATGTAATCATAACAACTTCTTTTCTTTCTTTCTTTCTTTTTTGTTTAACTAAAATAAAAAATAGGGAACAAATACTGAATTCTACAATACATAGGCGATGATTGGTAACTAAAAAGGAAGAAAAAAACCTAGTTCAGTTAAAAAAAGGGGGGTGAGGTTAGCCTTTAAAATAACTTTATTTTAAAAAAAAAAAGAAAAGAAAACAACATTAGGGAGGGGGAAAGAGAGAGAGAGAGAGCTAACAAGTTATAGGCATAAGTACAAAATGAAATGAATTTGTTCTTAATGCATAAATTCATACCAAAATAATAATAATAATAATAATAATAATAATTTTTATTATTTTAAACGACGTAAATAAAACCAAACAGCAACAGCTATTACAACAAAACTAGTACTAGTCAAAATGAATGGAATAAATAAATGGGAATCATGATTAGAATGATCAAATGATGGGTTATTAAGATTATTATTATTATTATTATTATTATTATTATTATTATTATTATTATTATTATCGTTTAACCATGTATTTTGTTGATCATTTTCATCAGTATGAGAAGTGATGTTTGATGGTGTTGAATGATTCTTCATGTTTATATTCTCATTATCATATATTCTATGAGATTGTAGGAATTGAAGAATTCGCTAAAAGGAATAATAATTTATAATTAATAAATGTAAATATAATATTTTTGAATTAAATTAAAAATTGCTTTATATCTTTCTTTCTACCAAACTAATTGTTTCTTCCTTCCTGTATTATAACTTTATGCACAATCATTCTTTTATAAATTACTACCATTGAAGTAACTACTTCTATGAATTTGGTGTTAACCGTGTTGTGCTAATAAGCTATAGCAACTTGAAACGATGCATATATGTACCTGTATAGTTGTTGCTGTAGCTGACTGAATGATTGCAATTAAATTGAGTTCTACATCTATAAATAAATTAGTTAAGTCATTGTAGCAGCTTGATGAATTCTAATAGATTATAACAATTTCACGGAATTACTAAATAGTATGTTAGTGGGACATAGATTGGATTAAATCATGCTTAATGCATGACTGGGTTGGCGCATGCTGATTGGTTCATTCTTATCCAATCAGCGCTAGCTAATATTTGGAGAACACTTTAGAATCTCCTCATAAAAAACTAGAAATATACTAACGTTTTTTTCCTATCGTGCTTCTTACTTCCATCTACCCTTGTTATTTGGAATATAATCTCTTTCTTGTTCAACTGTGTTCTGATTTGGGGACTTATCGAGTGAAATGATGTCCAAGAATACTAAGCAAATAGGAATAATTGGGTTGTAATAAGAGAGATTTTTAACACAGTAATAAAAAATTTTCTTAGAATTTGTTAACTTATGAATCATACTAGTTCCCATCAAACAAAAAAAAATCCTGTGACATTTAGCTAACAATCCCATAGAACGTTAGAAGATCTTGAATATTCAAGAGTTATTTGGTACTGATAGGACCAGTAAGTGAAGAATGATAGCATTAAAAACGAATGCTCAAACAAAATGATTTGAAAATTAGACTCAATCACTGAAACCATATTTGATTAATCATGCAGTAAATTCAGGAAGTCACTAGCTAAATAAACTATTTCTTTCATTCCTAATCTATGTGGTAGTGTCTGGTTGAATTCGTTAGAACGGTAGATACATATGTGTTGTGACTTAATTTCATATCTTATTTGAATCATCGACTTTTTTTATTGTTATACTTGTTAAAGATGAGATTTACTGAATCGATATACCACTACTACCTATGATTCTATACAAAGTCCAAAAAACGCATAACTCAAAATGAGTACGTAACAGTATTAAAAACACACGTTTTTTATAATTGTCTACTAATAGTTTGTTGAAATTCATGAAATGTCTTTTAGAAGAACACAACATTTAGTCTCGTGAAGAACATATATCGTCACTACAATGATATGTCTATGACACAACCCGAAAACGGATTTTCATGACATCATCTACCTTTATCTGTTTTTACCTTACTAGGTATAATAAATTAAGGTGCATAAAAAGTGAATTTCAAATATAATAACTGTTATAACGCTCAGTGTTACTTCGTCTAATGTTGTAACGCTTAAACGATTATCTACACTAGATCCCTTCCAGTGTCTGTTCTACAGGACATCAACACAACTCAGATCAAGAACACGTACTTAGCCTGACCAGAACGTAAATATATTTTCACACCCAAAAACTGACATATTCCACAACAATGAACAATCTATAATACGTATGTACATAAGTGAGTCACAATAATAAGGACAAGAGAATATATAACTACTTATCTGACACCTGTCAGACTGTCTACATGTCTGACTAAGCAGACAATCAATCATGATCATTCTCGCCCACACAACAATAAGCTGAGTAGGTATCATTACCAAGGTTTGAATTAATTAAAATAAGCTGAGGTTTTTAACAGACTTCGAAGTAAAATCAATCAATGTTACATTCAATGATCAACTAAGTAAAAGTTTAACCACACCCCTATAAAATTTTTAATTTTACTTAACACATCATAAACCGACCATGATCTCAATTAAAACTCAATAACCTCTACAACTCTATACTGATGATTATTATATGCTCACCAGTAACTAGCCTCGAGAGGTAATTCTCGGAGTTTTAGTGAGAAACCGTGACCAGTACAGTTCAAACGTAGCAAGTGTGACAGTTACTCACCGCAGAGAATAAATAATGGTTGAACAATGTAGTGAATTGATCTAAGTTAGACACTAACCAGTTTGTGATTCAAACTGTGAAGAGATTATTTTTGTCTTTTCTAAAAAAATATGTCTAATATGAATCTATCGGTATTATCACCAGCTGCTGTAAAATTTTACATCGATTAACTGCGAACATTTTACAACCCCTTCTTGATAACAACGGTACAATTCAACTTAAACAAAGAAAATACAACGTTGTGATATCTAATCTATCTGTCAAATATACACAACGTAGAACCTGGAACATGTCTGCATCGATCCAAGTAGTCACTTATAGCGATATGAAATTGTCAAGGGAAATCTCAAAGTACTACAGACAGTAACAGCATTCGCGGTAAAAGAGGAGATTAAGCATAGAAGTTATGATTTGAAAGGCAAATATGGATTAGTGGGAAAGATTTTATGAGATTATTTAGAAAATTAGGATCTAGGGGGAAGACAAAGAGTGAATGAATCTACGTCACTGTGAATGGTTCTGAACCATGTGACTTAACATCTCTAAAACTGTTGGCTAAGATGACTCCAATCCCAACCAAGTAGTCTGCACCTACCATGACTCAGGTCAGTCAATGACTACACAGGTTGGTGTCATGTCATAGTCGGGCCTCCTCTAGCTTTCTCCCAACTTAGTCCTATATACCAGCCATCATCACACGCCAAGGAAGGCATATGTAACACATGTCTCAGCCATCCGAGTCAGTAAACACTCACTACCTCACCAACTAATCTGTCATCCTTACCTAGTACTCTCCAACTAGCCTCATGATCGCTTACTCGGTAATCCCAAAGTAAACGACCTATATTGATCCCAATAATTACGACTAAAGCATTAAAAAACAATAACCTTGATGCGAAACTAACATTTGTGTTAGCTGCGTACTTCGAAAAAGATTTTACCGCTGGAGGCGGAAATAAGTAGGTGAGGTGCGATAATTTTATATTCAGTTTTTTCTAACCCCCTCCTTTCGTTGTGAGAAAACAGTAATGCTGTATGTGCTGGTTATCTGACGGAACGCCTTACTGATGTCATACCCTTGTACGGTCACTTGGGAGTGCATCGCCCTGAGAACTCTAGGGATGGGATATCACATTGAAAAATAAAACCTGAAATTTTACAAGGAGCTTATCGATAAAAAGAAATATAACAAACCGTTGAAGGTAAATAATAATAATGACTCCCTAAAATGATCAAAAACGTTATACTTACCCATCCTCCTTGTTGAGCTATCCACACGAAAATATTGATCTGTCGACAAAAACTGACTAGACATCGACATACTTGATAAAATGCGTTGGCAATACCTTTTTTAACTCGTTGCACTACTAACCGATAACCAAAATAGAACAAAGTGATTACTTGACCCCAGTTAGTTGGACCACGAGCAAATAGCCTAATATTGTAATATTATGTGGGAGAAAGATAGATAATAAGAGATTAGCTACTCAATAACAATTAAATGGTATTCGAAAATAAAATCATTATAATATAAACTATTTCTTTGTTCCATCACACTACTCATTGATGTAGTGAATTGGTACAAAATATATTAGTAGTGCGATTCATTTCATTGTTAATCGTAGCGAAAGAAATATTTTCCATAAGTAAATAATTCATCATGTTTTAGTGAGTGGGCTGAGATACTGCCCAGGTGCCCAGACCGAAGCAGGTGGTTTTCTTAGGGGGCCAAACCCCGAGCCACTGACCTGAAGATCTGATCCACAAGGCAGTGGAGCGTCGTGAGGAGATGCAGTCCCATGGAAGCCGGTGACCAAGAAATTGGTTCATATCCCATTTGTTCCTTCAGAATACTGGAGCCCATGTGCACCATTGACTTGGGATCCGGTTATAGCGCCGGACATTCGCTTTTCGTCCTCTCATTTTCGTAAACAACACCCCCGTCACGAGAAGGCAGTGAGTAGGAATTCCCTGGCAGAGGCTTTGTACGCGTAGCCGTGTGAGAGTATTTCGAGAGGGAGGGTGAACTCACCCCACTCTCGGCCATACCAAGGTGCTTTGCACCTTCGAAGTGCAAAGTACTTCTACAAGACTGGCAGGATTCTAATCCTGTACTCACTGTGGATGGTGAGCAGATAGAAGTAGTGGAGAAGTTCGTGTATCTAGATAGCTGCATAAGTGCTGGTGGTGGTGGAGAGGTGGTCAGTATATGACATGGTGTCGTGGTATGAAAGAAAGCTGCAAAGGGCTAGTTTGTGTTGGACCTTCACGACTCCCTGGCTGGGGTCCGAGAGATGGTGTAACACAGTGGCTAGAGACGTTATCAGATATGGCTCAGAATAGAAGCCAGTGGCGATCCTGCTGTAACCTTCTTTTACTTTCTTCATTAAAAAGTGGTTGCTCCTTCCTTAACTGAAAGATTTCTTCTGATTGTACTGTTCCGTTTCCCCCATTATTGTTCTCTCTTTTTTTTATAATTCCCTACGTTCATTACTATTTTTTTCTCCCCTTTAAATTCTTATTGTTTTGTGTGGCGCATATATATTTGGTGCCCCCTTGTACCAATATTTATGTGTTCAAATAAATAAATAAAAAATAAATAAAACAAAAGATATTACAACTATGTGCGTTACAGAGTACTGTCCAGATATATTATAATTACTAAGTATGTGATGTTACACGAAAAAGAAAAAAATATAAGATGAATCAGAGGGAGATTTTCAAACTCCATACAGTAAAGTGGTTGGAACGCATACAACCCATTACTTAACCACCAACTTTCCCCAAATTTTATGCATAATGAAAAAAGGATTAAGGTGAAAACAAACGAAGAATCAACACAGTATGATATAATGACAACCCATGAAGTCTCCCAATGTCACATAAATATCATGGATAAGTTTTGCAGGGTTACTGTAAACAATCGGTGTAATAGTTCAGTACCACCCCTCAACCAGTCCAGTTACAGTCACATTGCATTCACCTCTGGATGTACAATAAATCCACTACATACAATTTGTACTGTTATTAATTATAAGAAAATAATTCATTATATAGCTTAGTATAAGTACTATCCTGCGAATAGCATTTATTGATGAAAGAATTTGTAGAAATTCATTATCATTTTAGTAGCATGTGAACTAGTCTGTTTGTGTTTTTGAATGTCACGTTATAAAATCTTGATTTCACTGAGTTACACTGGTCTTTTTCAATAGTCTACCAGGTGTTTATATTATTTGGTTAAGGTAAGGATTGTTATACTTTTAAGAAAGAACACATTGCTGAGTTGTATTGAGGCCAGTGTGATTGGGTCGTTTATTATGGAAGTAGTTTTATTGTCTCATCTAGATATTGATTTACTCGCCTATATTATCCATAAGGTGTATGACATTCTACTTCACTAACGGCTAATGAATAAAACCTTAAAGCCTTTTCGAATCAGTGTTTAATCAGAATATAAAATTAAAAAGTACATATCTTTTCTATTGTGCAACCGTAGTTAAATAACTCAACTCACTGTAACAATCGGCAGTTCATTCTGTTCTACTTTACGACTGCGAAATGTGACCATTAAGAGTAGAAGATATTAGTAAGTTACTAGTAATTGATCACAGATGTCTCATAAATATTTCCAGCATCCGCTGGGATCACCAGGTAGGTAATAATGAGGTTAGACGCAGGGTACTAGGGAATGATGTTAATTCAGTTGATGAGGTTATGAATCTTCATTGACTGACATGGTTGGAAGAAATTTAGGGGCGACCAAACCAAAACGTGGAATCAGTCCTTAAAGTCACTAATTTCTAGTCTTAACCAAGTAGGTAGATGCAAATTACTTGGTTGAGGTTCGCGTGACTATCTTAACCAATGGTTGGAGACTATGGATGACATAGCTCAGAATCGATCACAATGGCGTCGGTGTATACACTCTTTGTCTTCCCTTAAACTGTAAGATTAAAATTGCTCTATATCTTTCTTTCTATCAACTAATTCTCTTTCTGTATTATATCCTTATATGCAATCTTTCTTTTATATATTACTACCATTGAATTAACTACTTCTATGAGTTCGGTGTTCATCTTGTTGTGCTAAGGAGCTATGGCAACTTATATCGATGCATATATGTGCCTGTAGCTGTTGTTGTAGCTGAATGGCTGACTGAAACACAGAAAATACCTTTGTTGTTCCATATTTCATAATTTATTCGGAGGTATTTTTTGTCAATTAATCCCCTTTGATTACCATTAAGTGTTTAACAGACCTTATTTAACAATAATAATAATTAGTACAGGGTTGTGGAAACTCTGTCTGGAGCCCCTCTTGGGCTACTGCCGGTCCCAAGCCCGGATAAAGGAGGAGGATTGGGCATGGAGTTGGCTACCCCATCTCGTAGAAGACGAACTCGCTAAAAAAAACGCTAACCAGAAAGAAAAGGGTTGTGGAGATTGTAGATGGTTGCGAAATATTTCGGATTAATTGAAGTTAGATATTAACACCGTTGGATCCCAGCTAAATGGTTTCGAGTCTAAGAGTTTGCGTGAGGCCAAAGATCCTGGTTACAGATCCAGGTGAGAGGTCGTGGATGTATACTGCTGAGAAGTCCCATGCTCGAACATGGAGGACTCACCTAGGGGAGTTGGAAAACCCTGATTCCAAACCAATGGTGTACATGGGCTCCAGTATCCTGAGGGGACGAAAGGCGTATGAATCTATTGCTGGTCAGCGACTACCATGGGACTACATCTCCTAAAGTTGCTCCACTGTCTTGCGGACTAGACTTTCAGGTCAAAAACTCCGGTCTGGGCACCCGGACAGTATCACAGCCTTTACACAAATCAATGATAACTGTTACTGGCCTCATTGTTATTGTGTGGCGCATATATATTTGGTACCCCCTTGTACCAATGCTTATGTTTTCAAATAAATAAACTCGGAGAAAAGCCGATCCAGAGCTCCCAGGCTTTTAATTTTGTTTTAACAGTGGTCGGTTTACGATCTTAATAATGATAATAATAGCCAAAAATAATGATTACAGCAATTGAAAATTATCAACAAGTAATCATTTATTTAACTTACACACGGGAGACATTATAAAACATTTCTAATGGACATTCCTCGACTGGTAGTAATTTAATCATTCTATCTAATCTCGATCCATAGATACGATTGATTTCATCACCGATTTCCGCTAGATTACGAGCAACTATTGCTTCGACACTAAGCAAAAGTAAAAGTTTAATACATAATTAAAATAGTAAAAAACTAAGGATATTTAACAAATACATGAAAATAAAATGTTTCGCATAACACAAAGCGTCGATAGACCTTATTCTGATATAACAATAAAGATTCGGAAGTTAAATATTGGATAGTGGCTTACAACCAATGAGTTACAAGTTCGACCACCCACAGCATTAAATTCGGTTTTAGCAGCCAAGCACTGGTAGAATTAGATTTCGCACAAACAGTATGTATTTTATTTATTTATTTTAACACATAAGTATAGGTACAGGGAGGCACCAAAATACATATGCGCCACACGAATCTCAGTTGATTTGTGTGAGGGCTGTGATACTGCTCGGGTGCCCAAACCGAAGCAGGTGGTTTTCTTAGGGGGCCACACCCCGAGCCTTCGACCTGAACGTCTGACCCACAAGGCAGTGGAGCATCGTGAGGAGATGCAGTCCCATGGTAGCCGGTGACCAACGATTGGTTCATACGCCATTTGTTCCCGCAGGATACTGGAGCCAGCCCATGTGCACCATTGGTTTGGGGTCCGGTTAAAGCGCCAGACATTCGCTTTTCGTCCTCTCATTTTTGTAAACAACACCCCCGCCACGAGAAGGCAGTGAGTAGGACTTCCCTGGCAGGGGCTATATACGCATGGCCATGTGAGAGCATTTCGAGAGGGAGAGCGGACTCTCCCCACTCTCGGCCGTACCAGGGCATTTGGGGGCACAAACAGTATGGCTTGAAGCTGAGTATAAAAACTTATACTTGGTAAATAATTTATAACAAGATTTTGATCTACAGAAGATACATAATGGTTAGTGTATTAGAACATGATTCATACTTGTTTTCACAAGATTAGCTGTGTTGACGACTCTGTATTTACTTGATAAACCAAAGTGTGAACACATAATTCACTGACTGTTCGATCAATTTACAATATAGCCACTAGTCTAAACGACTCGACATTGTGTCTAAATGGCTCAGTGGTAGCCTTTGTGACACTGAATAAAGTTCAAATCTCATGGGGAGCAGTAGTCCCCTCAAAATTGCAAATCCTCATTGACGAGTGTCAAGTAGCATGGAATTTAGATCCATAGGATCCTAATGATTTTTCCTAATCGCCTTACATTAAATCTGCACAGCGAATGGATTTATAACATCATCACTGGTCAACTTAAACTACATCATCAGAAAAACGATAAAAGCTTCACGACCAAACCATTCAGCTCAAAATTATCCACCTGAGCTACAAATCTTCTCCACTGTCTCAGAGAAGAAAGTATGAGAAAACCTTATGGTGCAAGCAAGCTAGTAGTGAAATATAGTACAACAAAGCGACCAGTTATAGACTAAAAAGACAAGCCTATCACTGAGATTCAAGAACAGCGGAACAGGTGGGTAGACCACTTGGAAGAGTTTTAGAGTAGACCAGCCCCACTGGATCCTTCGGAAATCGAAGCAGCAGACACTAATCTCCCTACATATGATAACTCATGAACACCAGAATATATCGGAAAGGCCATCAGAAAAATCAGGAATAGCAAAGCAGCAAGACAAGACAGGATAAAAGCTGAATTACTGAAGTCAGATATATAGGTAACTGCAAAGTAGTTTCATGTTCTCTTCAAAAGGATTTCGGGGGAAAAATACCAACAAACTACAAAGAGTAATGCCTCATTAAGATACTGAAGAAGAATCTTAATAAGGGTGAGAACTACAGAGGGATCACATTACTGTCAGTACTGGCCAAGGCCTTCAACAGTGTTCCTCAACTGAGTGGAAGATTCAGTAGACTCCCAACTTTCCGATCAACAAGGACTAGTTATGCAGTAACCAAATAGTGACACGGATGATTGTAGAGCCATCAACTAAATAGAACTCATCGCTATACAACAACTTTCTTGATTATGAGAAAGTATTCGACAGTATGAATAAGAAAACGTTCAACATCATACGTAACTTTTACGACGGACTACACTGAAAAGTAGTGCATAGAAGGCAGCAAGCAGATGCGTTCCAAGCGAGGAGTGGTGTTAGGTAAGGCTTCTTACTCTCTCCTTTTCTCTTTCCAATAACTATTGACTAGATTATGAAGAGCTTCACACCTCAGGAGAAGCATGGAACACCTCGGATGCAGCTGGAAGATCTGGAGTTCACAGATGACTTACCCCTATTATTCAATACACAACAATAAATCCAGACAAAGACTGCCAGTGTAGTGACGACTTCTGTAGAAATGCCCTTCAAAACTCATAAGGGAAAAATTGGAATCCTGAAATATAAAATAATGAGCAGAGACCAAATCACATTTGATGGAGAAACTCTAAAAGAGGTGGAAGCCTTTGCATATTTGGGCAGTATCATTCAGAAACGAGGATGATTTGATGCAAATGTGAAGATACTGATTGTCACAGCAAGAGCAACATTCTTACAACCGGAGAGCATATTAAACGCAAAAGAACTGCCATCTAACACTCAATTCAGAACTTGAAACACAAACGTTTCATAAAGCTGAATCTAACTGCACGCGTGTAGTTTGAAAATAGTTTTAAAGAAATCCAATTTTAACTTATTCGGGTTAAATTTTTGAGAAATAGTGAGTTTGTTGACAACACTATAAACAGAATATATTTTTTCCTCGACCACAGTTACTGTATAAGATAGTGTGTCAGATAGGATAGATAGTTATCTGAGATAGAAAACATTAATGGGTATACATGAATCCAGTTTTTATAAATACTTAACTACAGTCCTCTTCTTTATATCTTGTGTATATTTTCTTTTTACTAAGTTTCATCGATTTTTTCTTGATTTGGTATTTCTGAAGGACGACAATGTATAAAATAAACATTCAGGATAGAACAGTGATTCGATTTTTTATTTAAGGTAAATAAATGGTTTAAATTACATACATGGATAAACAACCTACCTGTGTGGTTCAGCACGAGGTAAAGAAGAAAGTTGATGGCTTACAGGATCTTCAGACTCAGCTTGTTGACTTATATCTGTTACATGAATTGAAGCTGAAGTAGAAGCAGTAGACTGAGACGAAGATGCTTGAGCTGATGCAGAAACTTCTAACCTATAACGATCTATCATAAAATTGCTAAAAACTAGTTCTGATGAAGCATCTACTTCTTCTGGAGTACTTGGAGTTAGTTTTGAAACAACCTTTTAGATTAAATACAAGGAATGAAACAATAATAGTAGGAAATTAGTTTATTATCTCTTTAATCCCTAACAATTGCAACGTTAAGATGAAGTTATTTAATAAAAGTTTGATATGCTTAATTTATTCATCAAAGAAAGAACCAAAACAACTTTATTAAGTAATAATAATCAAAATTTTAAGTTTTAGTTCATTTGTATTGGTTGTTTGAATCTTCCCATTAATGTTTAAGATTGAAGTTGATCAGTCTCTTTTGGCACATGTGCATCCTGTGCAGATTACCTTGATAATGCCACTAAGTCATAAGCATTTAAAGTAGAGGTCTCTGATTAAAATCAAACCAGTTGCTATCAGAACTCATTAACTAAGTGAGCAACATGATGGCATTTGGAGCGAACGGTATTGTGTTCGAGTCCTGGAATGAAAATCAACTCTGTAATGCAAGTACATCCTGTTGATGAGTCCCAAATAGGACAAAAAGACAGTCCTGAATTCCACTGCTAGCCACCATACATCTCATGTACCCGGCTCTAAGTCATATTTTGTGATATTAGCCAGCTACCGAAACCGAAGATGAAGCCGAGTCAATAATATATAATTTAATGGTTGGGAGTTGTACCTGTAACTACCGTTTGAAAGCCTTGGATTTAATAAAATTCGAAACAAATGAAATATTTAGTTAATGATGTTTAATTACCAAGCTTTATTTAAATAGGTTAACACTCCAAACTAAAGGTTCGATCGAAAAACTTCAATGTAAGTACAGGAAGGATTATGCTGCATAATCTTTTGGTTGCAGTTCTAAATGATGGTCATTATTAAAACTGAGAGCCACTGTCTCGAGACAGATTTGACTTTCTTTTGAAAAGAACTGTACAGCTACCTATGACCTATAAATCTTCAAGAATTATCCAGTAGATATTAACCTGATTATAAAAACGAACCTAGACGCCAATAGAAATTTGCAATAAATTTTAAGCCAGTGATTGTTTAGGGTGAAAATATACCTTACTAACATTTTAATGAGAAGATAATAACTTGCTTTCAGATAGACATTTACATAAAACAAAAAGCCACCGTATTATGAATCCTTAATAATTATTGACTCACCCGTAAGTCAATATTGATAGTTACCGGCTTTTGAGATTTTAGTGACTCTGAAGTACGACCACGTTGTCGGACAATATTACCAGGGTTCGTAGATGAAGAAGCAGAGGGATTGGCTTCATGTTCTACGTCTGTATTAAGTACTTCAATAACATTATCATCATTATCTTCGTCTAAATCCTCCTCAATATTACGTATTATATCTGGAGGTGCCCCACCGGTTACAGCTACAATTTGTGCTGGTGAACAACGATCCAAATAAGTCGGCATTGATTGTTCAACAAACTTATTTACTGTCTTCTTATATTGATCGCTAATATTTAGAACTGTTTTAGTAACCTCATCATCCAATTCAGAATTCATTTGTGCTATATTACTTAAATTCGACTTTATAAAAGAATTATCAGTTAGTAGTTTGGATTCTTGATTTGAATCAACTGAATGATGAGATTGTGAAGATAAAACTGGTTTTAATGCTGACGTATGTTTTTCATTTTGATCAATAGATGAAGTATTTTTTGCAATTTCTTCATGATTCTGAAGAACAACACCAGTGATATCATTGTTTTCATCAACACTAATTGTATTGTTGGCATAAGGTTGATTATTATTATTATTATCGTCACTTAGAATTTCTTTGGATAAACTCTTTGATTCCATAGACAAAACCGATGAATCATTATGATTATTCAATGAAGTGAGTACTGTTGGTGTTGAAAGAATACTAATGGAATTATTATACTTATTATCATTATCTGATAGATTATTAGTATTATCAGATAGATCCTTAAAATCCGATATTCCATTATTCGATGAAAATTCATCAAGTAAGTTGTTGTACAAAACATTGTTGGAATTATTCAACTGTTTTAATTCATGTTCATCATTTAATTTAGAAAGGTTTTCTTCACTGGAATACAGAATTTCATTTGTTGATGAAGTGGTTGTTGACCCAATGCCATTTTCTTTAGTTAATGAATTATTTTCACTATAATTATTATCGTTACCTTGATTTGATCGGATTATGATCACTTTTTCATTTGATTGAGGTGGAACAATAGAATTTTCTGAGGATTTGAAAATATTAGCTGATTTCTCTGGAGCATAAACTAAGGTTACTCCTGTCTTCTTTTTTTGTTTTACTTGTTCTTCTTTTACGTCTTTATCACCATTATCATAGCCATTGTCTTCTACTCCATCAGATTTTGGGGATGAATTTGCGAAAGAGTTGGGTGAAAACTTATTCGAAGCAAATGTTTCATCTAATGAAGAATTCGCATTTGGTGTAGACGAATCACTGGGATCAGAAATTGTCATAAATGATGTCTTTGATGATATCCAACTTGCATCTGCCTGTAATATATAATATAATATAGAAAGTATTCGATGAAATTGTAGGAAACAACATTACATAGTAAAACTAGGACATTATTATTATTATTATTGTTATTATTATTATTATTATTATTATTATTATTATTATTATTATTTGAACACATAGATACTGGTACAAGGGGGTACCAGATACATATGTGCCATACAAATCTTATTTGATCTGTGTGAAAGCTATGATACTGCTCGGGTGCCCAGACCGAAGCAGGTGGCTCACTTAAGGGGCAACACCCAGAGCCTTCAACCTAAAGGACTAATCCACGAGGCAGTGGAGCAGCGTAAGGAGATGCGATTCTATGGTAGCCGGTGACAAACGATTGGTTCATACGCCATTTGTCCCTTCAGGATACTGGAGCCCATGTACACTATTCGTTTGGAATCAGGGTTTTTCGACTCCCCTGGATGGACTCTTCGTGTCCACCAACCCGGATAAAGTGCCGGACATCCGATTTTGGTCTTCTCAATTTCGTAAATAACACCCCTGCCACGATAATGAAGTGAGTAGGACTTCCCTGGCAGAGGCTATATACGCGTGGCGATGTGAGAGCATTTCGAGAGAGTAAGCGGACTCCCCCCCACCCTCGGCCGTACCAGGACATTTTGGGGGCAAATAGGACATATCAATAAAATTAAGTATAAAATGATGAGAAGTCTTAAAACCGACCAATAAAAGAGTATGTTTCAGGCGGGCTGTATTCCTAAATGTACTGAGCAACAAACAATAAATAAACAAAAATATTGAACTCAAACCTAATTTATATTTAAAAACCGAATATCACTTTGAATACAATTCAAAAACAACCCAATGTCTAAAATGCGTATTATAAAACTAACAGAAAATGTTTTAACATTTAATTACTAATCTTTCGATCTGTGACATCATACCAGTTAACGGATCAGATCAGTTTGAGAGAGTTTAAGCAGACTTTTATTTATTTATTTATTTAACACATAGGTATTGGTACAAGGAGGCACCAAGTACATATGCGCCACACGAATCTCAATTGATTTGTGTGAGGGCTGTGATACTGCTCGGGTGCCCAAACCGAAGCAGGTGGTTTTCTTAGGGGGGCCACACCCCGAGCCTTCGACCTGAACGTCTGACCCACAAGGCAGTGGAGCATCGTGAGGAGATGCAGTCCCATGGTAGCCGGTGACCAACGATTGGTTCATACGCCATTTGTTCCTTCAGGATACTGGAGCCAGCCCATGTGCACCATTGATTTGGGGTCCGGTTGAAGCGCCGGACATTCGCTTTTCGTCCTCTCATTTTCGTAAACAACACCCCCGCCACGTGAAGGCAGTGAGTAGGACTTCCCTGGCAGGGGCTATGTACGCGTGGCCATGTGAGAGCATTTCGAGAGGGAGAGCGGACTCTCCCCACTCTCGGCCGTACCAGGGCATTTGGGGGCCTAAGCAGACTACAATACGCACAAATCATATAATGATATACTGATTAGTTGAGGCAATCAAAACGATAAAGCAAGTATTTAGTAAGAGTAATTCTAACTTAGGTATCAAGAGAAATAAACTCAACGGAAATTCAAACGGATCAATGACAGATAAATAAGAAAAACAATAGTTAAATCTCATTCTGCTTAGTATTCTTGATCACTTCACTCACTCGCGTGGTTCCTACATCAAAAAGGAACTTGGGTAGAACGTAAATATGTTCTAATCAAAATAACAGGTTCAGTAAGGAACGAATTAATCAGGCTTAAGATAGCGATTTTGGCGCTAAATTATTTCATTCATACATCTGAATACCATACACACATTATAGTTGAGGTCCGTTTGTCATAAAAATCTTAATTCTACTTCTTAATCTGAACTTTTAGTTCTAACTCCCAATCCTAGTCCTAATTCTTTACACTAATTTATAGACCTATTTCAGCCCTAGTAAATGGTTAAAGTTCCTTAAAGGCACTTTATTATTACTCAAATGTTAGCCATAAATTAGATTATCGATCAAAATATCAGTGTATGAATAAGCTTTATACCAGGAATATTCTAGTCTAAACAACTCATCTGCTAACCCTGATTGGTTGAAAATAGACCAATCAGTGCGCTCCAATACATTGTCTGAAACATTATTTTGATCAATGTATCGTCTAGCCAACAGCAATCAAATATCATATTCATCAGTTGTTAATATTAATATTCTTAGAAAATTTATCACTTAATTATAACACATTAGTGTCAAAAGATAAATCTAGAAGATTTGACAACTGGAACTAATTCCCTATGAGAGTAAACACTAGAAGAATGGATTGACAAACTTAAACAAATCACACTCAAATTAATGATACATTATTCCAAATTAACGATTACTCAAATTTGGGCAGTGTCTTAGAACTTGGAGTGTTTCAATGAAAACCATTAGGTTAAATGTCTAAACCCACTCAATCTAAGGTAGTGTCACTAGCCCTCGCACATAAACTAGCGCTCAAAACCGAGTACATGGACCAGTAAACAGGTTATAGTATAAATTACAGTTTCACACACCATGGGAACTAGTGACAGTAAAGAGGTTCCTAAACCAACGTGACTGGGTACTGTTATATGGCCATTTATAGAAATCACAGGAAATGAAAAAAACATCTAATGATTCGATTCAATATACAGAACAAAGAACATAATTAGATTCAAAGCGGAGGATGAGAAATAATATTGAAAACGACAGATTATCAAACACGTAAAGTAAAGTTCAAGAGGAACAGATGAATTCAACAAGAATGAAAAATACGAAATAATAATACTTATGTTAAGATTTAGGGGACGATAAAGAATGAGTACAATCAACTCTAGACCATTAAAACCAATGTCTTTAAACATAGATTACAAATACCCTACCCCAGAATTTACAACAGAAGTCTACACTCACAAACATGACTCAGTCTTTAAATAGAACACTTATTAGTAGAATAGTACAAAATAACCCCCAACATTGAACAATACAATACTATTACATCTGAAAAATATAATCATAACCCTCAGTCAATCAGTCAGCTGCAACGTAGGACCAGGCACGTATATGCATCGGTCCAAGTTGCCATACCGCATTAGCACAACAAGATGAACACCGGATTCACAGAAGTAGTTAATTCAGTGGTGGTAATATATAGAAGAAAGAGTGTGTATAAGGAGATAGTACAGGAAGATAGAATTAGTTCCTAGAAAGAAAGATTTGAAGTGATTTTAATCTCTTAGTTTAAGGGAAGACAGAGAGTGTATACACCGACGCCATTGTGATCGATTCTCAGACATGTCACCAAGAGTCTCCAACCATTGGTTACGATAGTCACGCGAATCCAAACCAACTAGTCTGAATCTACCAACATGGCTCAGACCAGAAGTTAGTGACTTCAAGCATCGATGCCACGTTTTGGTTTGGCCGCCCCTAACTTTCTTCCAGTCATCCGCAACACCGGTTAGCATTGCGCGTCGTGGTATTCTGTGTTCAGGCGTACGCAGCACGTGGCCCAACCATCTTAGTCGATGAAGGTTCATAACCTCATCTACTGATTTACCATCATTCCCTAATACAGTGCATCTAGCCTCACTATTACTTACCCGGTGATCCCAGCAGATACCCGCAATATTTCTAAGGCACCTGTGGTCAAATACTAGTAACTTACGAATATCTTCTACCCTTAAAGGCCAAGTTTCGCAGCCGTATAGTAGAACGGAACGAACCGCCGCGCAGTATACTCGTCCCTTAATTGATAGACGAATATCTCGCCTTCGCTATAGATGACGTAAGTTAGCAAAGGCCAAGCGAGCTTTTCGAATCCGTGCTGAGATTTCGTCAGACACCAACCCATTAGGGCTGATCAGACTTCCAAGATAAGTGAAGTTGTCAATGCGTTCAACTACGTCACTCTCTATCCTTAGTTCAGGTGTTGACGCAGACCAGTCCTGAAGCAACAACTTGCATTTAGAGAGAAAGAACCGCATCCCAAACATTCTGGAATTGTTGCTCAGTGCTAACAAAAGACTCTGCATTTTATCATAACCCCAAAATTTCTTTTATAGTTTTTTTAGTTTATTTAAGAATTAAGCTAACAAAACAGTTAATCAGCTCAAACGAAGAAACTATTATGAAGTTGCATGAAATAGTTGGAGTTAGAGTTATCAAATTAAACAATACTTTTGACTGGAATTCTAAACACATTACATAAATCATATTAAAGAAAAAAAACTAATAATTGATGTGATGTGAACTGACACTGAAATCAATTTAGATATCTTTAAGTTAAGCATTGTCATTGGTTATATATATATACAACAATGACAATATTCAACTTAAGAGACATATTTAGGACAATAATCATAAAAGGAATGTACAACACAGGGTAGATATTGTATAGAATTTAATCTAATCAAAGAAAATGAATAAATACCGATTACTTTATGTATATATAATGAGTGCTAGTTTATGAAACCTAAATTGAGATATACTAAGCAAACTTATATGGATTTTGTTACAGAGGAAATATATGAGTACATATTGAAAGGTGTATGTATTGAGCAATACCACTTTGTGGTTATGAGAGTCAGTAAAATTGTAAACGATGTTAACGATAGAGATTCTTATTCATGAGTATATTCAATGTACTATTTAAACCACAGGGTTACAAAGAACCAATGGATTTCTTCAAGGTCTATCGCACTGATGGATTCTCGCAAACTCATCCCATCAGGTTCTGAACACGATGAAGAGCGTAAAGAAATCAGATCTAGATTAAGCAAAAGTCTAAGGAATGATCGTGAGCAGTGGTGGGCAACGAAAGCAAAAGAGATGGAAAAGGCGGCGGCTATAGGGAACACAAGACAACTCTACAGACTGATAAAAGAAACTGGAATTAATAAATCAAGTGTAAGTCAGACCATTTCGGAAAAAGACGACACTCTCATCTGCTCCCAGTCCAGACGTTTAGAACGATGGGCGGAACATTTTAAGGAGCAGTTCAGTTGGCCTTCAGCTACTCTACAACTACCCTCTATTCCCAGACAGTATGAATGGAACATTGAAGTAGGTCCCCAACTCTAGCTGAAGTTCAAAAGGCTATAGCTAATCTGAAACGAGGAAGGGCAGCTGGTCCAGACGGATTGGCCTCAGAGGTCTTTAAGGATGGTAGTCTAGTTTTAGCGATTAGGTTGACTAATATTTTAGCTAAAATCTGGGAGTTAGACGTTATCCCATCTAACTGGTCACAATCACTTATCGTCCCAATATTTAAGAAAGGGTCAAAATCATCCTGTGACAACTACAGAGGGATTAGTTTAACTAATATAATATCTAAAATACTAGCTTCGATAATTTTCGGACGCCTAACTAAGACTCGTGAGCTGCAAACACGTGAAAATCAGGCTGGCTTCAGACCTGGTCGTGGCTGCATCGACCACATATTCACCATTCGTCAGGTTCTAGAACACAGGCATACTTATCGGCGTCCGACAATAGTGGTCTTCCTTGATTTAAGAGCAGCGTTTGACTCTGTTGACCGAGAGGTTCTGTGGCAGTGTCTGTCATTGAAAGGCGTACCTCAGAAGTACATAAACCTTGTGAAGGCTCTTTACTCGAACACTACTAGTCGAGTCAGAGCTTATGGCGAACAGTCATCTGCTTTTGCAACCTCAAGTGGCGTCCGTCAAGGCTGTCCACTTTATCCTTTTTTGTTTAACTTTATCATAGACATCCTGATGGAAATAACGCTCTCATCGACTGACTTCTCGGGTATTGATCTCCTACCAGGAGGTCCGCTTATTGACTTAGAATACGCAGATGACATAGTCCTGTTTGGTGAAGACGCTGATGAAATGCAGAGTCTTTTGGTAGCACTGAGCAACAATTCCAGAATGTTTGGGATGCGGTTCTTTCTCTCTAAATGCAAGTTGTTGCTTCAGGACTGGTCTGCGTCAACACCTGAACTAAGGATAGAGAGTGACGTAGTTGAACGCATTGACAACTTCACTTATCTTGGAAGTCTGATCAGCCCTAATGGGTTGGTGTCTGACGAAATCTCAGCACGGATTCGAAAAGCTCGTTTGGCCTTTGTCAACTTACGTCACCTATGGCTCAGGCGAGATATCCGTCTATAAATTAAGGGACTAGTATACTGCGCGACAGTTCGTTCCGTTCTACTATACGGCTGCGAAACATGGCCTTTAAGGGTAGAAGATATTCGTAAGTTACTAGTATTTGACCACAGATGCCTTAGAAATATTGCGGGTATCTGCTGGGATCACCGGGTAAGTAATAGTGAGGTTAGACGCTGGGTATTAGGGAATGATGGTAAATCAGTAGATGAGGTTATGAACCTTCATCGACTAAGATGGTTGGGCCACGTGCTGCGTACGCCTGAACACAGAATACCACGACGCGCAATGCTAACCGGTGTTGCGGATGACTGGAAGAAAGTTAGGGGCGGCCAAACCAAAACGTGGCATCAGTGCTTGAAGTCACTAACTTCTAGTCTGAGCCATGCCCCCAAATGCCCTGGTACGGCCGAGAGTGGGGAGAGTCCGCTCTCCCTCTCGAAATGCTCTCACATGGCCATGCGTAAATAGCCCCTGCCAGGGAAGTCCTACTCACTGCCTTCTCGTGGCGGGGGTGTTGTTTACAAAAATGAGAGGACGAAAAGCGAATGTCTGGCGCTTTAACCGGACTCCAAATCAATGGTGCACATGGGCTCCAATATCCTGCGGGAACAAATGGCGTATGAACCAATCGTTGGTCACCGGCTACCATGGGACTGCATCTCCTCACGATGCTCCACTGCCTTGTGGGTCAGACGTTCAGCTCGAAGGCTCGGGGTGTGGCCCCCTAAGACAACCACCTGCTTCGGTTTGGGCACCCGGGCAGTATCACAGCCCTCACACAAATCAATTGAGCTTTGTGTGGCGCATATGTATTTTGGTGCCTCCCTGTACCTATACTTATGTGTTAAAATAAATAATAAATAAAAGTCTGAGCCATGTTGGTGGATGCAGACTACCTGGTTGGGGTCCGCGTGACTATCGTAACCAATGGTTGGAGACTCTTGGTGACATGTCTGAGAATCGATCACAATGGCGTCGGTGTATACACTCTCTGTTTTCCCTTAAACTAAGAGATTAAAATCACTTCAAATCTTTCTTTCTAGGAACTAATTCTATCTTCCTGTACTATCTCCTTATACACACTCTTTCTTCTATATATTACCACCATTGAATTAACTACTTCTGTGAATCCGGTGTTCATCTTGTGCTAATGAGATGTGGTAACTTGGACCGATGCATATACGTGCCTGGTCCTACGTTGCAGCTGACTGACTGACTGAATATCAAGACGATGAAGCTCGATTAGGCTGCCAGAACTATACTTATGGTAGAGATATAGGTCAGTCAAAAGCAAAAAAGAATTTAGTAAATATGAGCACCAGTTTAAATTTCCACGCAACATGCTCAAAATAAGACGAATACTAGAGTTACGGAAGTAGCAGTATCATTGGTAGTATAAAAGATTAGCTACATAGAATATTCAGGAAAAGGATGAATCCGAGCAACGAAAAGCATAGAGTAGTTTTGAAACTCGGGATTTAGAGTAGTAAGGGTACTTATGCATAATGAGCTATATATAATAAATTTTACTGCTGAATATCAAAAAGTAATCCATCCCCCACTTACTTCTAAGGGACCATCACCAATTCCATCCGTAGACATCTCGCTGAAATAAACAAAATATGAAAAAAAACTATAACCATTCAGATAAATGAACTGAACTAACATCAATACAAGACGAATAGTCATAGCAAGATGGTATCGTAAAAATTAGACAGGTCGGGTTGATTTATGACTAATATGTATAGATATACACCATAACTGAAGTGCGGCCTAATTTAGAACCCAAAGTTTAAAGACTGTTAAGAAACTCAAAATTTTCCTTAACCCAACCCAAGCGACCATAAAAAATGAAATAGAATGGGGGGCGTGTCAATACGTCTCCTTTATACGCCCGTTAGACAAAATAGTGCAAAATTTGCTCTCTTATCACTTTAGGATCGAAATTTCGCTGAACCCAATCAACCAAAAACGGGGAAAGTGCTTTGGTAAATAAAAGGAAAAACGCGCCAAAATGTCACCTTTTTCGCCTGTCCAGGGGAGATAATGCGGATTTCTCCCTTTTTGTCGCTTTGTTGCTAAATTGTCTGCTTTTCGCCTAAATGCACACAGAATTGCCTGTTTTTGATTCAACTTTTAAAACACCATTGGCATAACCCGAGGTCTCCTATATTCGCCTTTATTTTCACAACAAACCACAGTGAAACTGCAATCCACGGGAAAAGCGGTATATATTTAAATAGTTTTATTTCAAAGGAAGAGCGTATTATTGTACAACATTATAGCGGAAGGTTGAGCATCAATCGTTTTGCATTTCCATTGTAATTGCCAATTCATCGTCGTTTGAAAAGATCTGCAACAGAAGAAACAGGTGATGTATTATTTATAACACATGTGCATTTAATCGCCAGTTCACTGACAATGAGTAAGAAATTAAGCTCTTTTACAAAATAATGTTTATTAAAAATTAAACGCAACGTAAACAATTGCACGGACTACGTTCTTTAGCCACGTATGTTCGGCTATTGAGAGTGGAAACAGTCTTCCTGTGAATTCTGAAGTGTAAAGAATAAAAGAAGTCACAACGATATCTGAATAACATGCTAAAGCATGTCCCAAGACACAGCCAAATACTTTAAGCTAAACTTACGGTTATGTTCGTTAATACTATTGACTGTAACTATAAAGCAGTAGGGAAGTTATCACTTTAAATTAGTACATACTTGCTCTTGTTTCCTTCGATTACGCTTGATCAATTTGTCTCTGACGTCATGAAAATAACCTTGCGTCGCGATGTCGTACAGCTTCGCAAGGTCTTTTTCGTTCACGGAGAGATGACAAGAAGCGATTCGTTAATGCACCTGAAGTTTAATTTATAAGTATAGGTTACTTCGTATGCAGCCATAAAACCGGCATTCCTGAAGTGCGCGTTTTGAAGAAGTGCCGAGCAACGTGAAATTACTGCCCACCTCAGGTGTTATGAGGCACGACAAAATATAACGCAGTGACGCTTTAGGGTCACCACCCATTAACCTAGTGACCATCGCCATCTGTTATACTAACAAGTTATTAAATTAATGTTGACTTGCAAATCTGTCCCTGGTTTCCTTCTGCTGCAAACCAGTGTCCAGCATCTGCAGTTCCTCTTCCGATGAAAAAGGGAACTGCTGACTTGACAGTCCGCAATCGAATCGATGCGGATGTTGACGTTGACTTGAATTTGACAATAACAGCTTTATATTAGTACTCAATTCAGTAATAGCTGAAGACATGTTTTGCATCATCTTACTCAAGTCAGTGACAGCGGACGAGACGTTCTGCAACGTTGTGTGCAACATGTCAAAGCTGAAAAAGTTCACTTGATGGTACAGTTGATTTACTGGGCCGGTAAGGAAAAACCTACATGCTTTGATTCTACCGTGAAAGGTGACGTCTCTAATTGTGTAGAACTACTTCATTAACATTTACATAGTAATGAAACGTACTTGGCAATTGGCGAGAGGACTGTCAAATAGCCGAAATTTTGGATAATGTACGTGGCTATTTCCAGCCTGCATCTCGGCCACATCCATATCAACTGAATTGTAAAGAAATCCTTCTTTACGCTTCAATGCACCTCTAAGAAATGTTAGTAAGATTATTGTACAGACCTCTTTGGTTTTTCAGTGTTTAATGGCAATGTGTTCTCCTCGGTTGAAGTGTTCTTGCGATGAAGCTCTAGTATTTGGAGGAACACTAACATGTCCTTGGCAGACTGCAGAGAATCTACAGTAAGTTATCGTTTACATGTATTTTACTCACCGATTTCGTGGATGACTTTGCATTTGAGAAGTGACCAATTCTCATCTGGTTGATCGCAGTTTTTCAGGTGGATGTCCACCAGCTCCGTTGGAAAAAGGCAAAGTTCTTTGCCAAAAATCCATTGCTTGGCTACTATCATAATTTCTTTCTTGCTCGGAACATCAACAATGACGTATTGTTTGTTAGCGGGCTAAACATAACATAATAGTTAATGAAATGGTTTATGGTCATGAATCAAGCACAAATAGAACAAAATACATTCACACTAAAGTATGTAACAATGGAACTATAACTAAATGATTGATACAATTAATGGCTATACATTTACAGTCAATGTCCTTAACCGATACCCATGTGTGTTCATGGCTAACCACGGAGCACATAAATATTCCTATATCAGTGGATGAGAAAGGATTTTCGAAGTAATTGCGTGGGTCAGTGAAAGACCTAAATTTCAATAGTCCGTCCTCCCGTATATCAGTAACTAAACCAGGTTGTCCGTTTACTACTACCACGTTATCAGGCTTAAATGAAGTTATTTTACTATTATTAAAAGTAATTTCTTGTCGATTGGAGACCTCCTTAACGGCTATTGGGGTATTGTTACTTGAACATGTAACTTGAAGCCTATCGCAGAAGGACATTTTCTCAGCATAACGCTGAGCCACTTGCTTAGCAACAGCATACCTGCTGTGGACAGAATTCTTTATTTGTCTCATGTAAGACTCGAATGGAAAGGCTGAAAAGCAATCTAAAGGTCCATGTGCACGAACATCGTCAGGAAGGTGCTGTAACAAATGCACATTGTAAACTAAATGTTCAGACTCATAACACCATTCGTATTCCTTAAGAAAGTTTCTTAAGTCTATTTTGACGGGTTCTACGACGGTATTATGTAATTTAGGGTGTGCAAGCAGATAAATGGATAACGCTAGACGCCGGAAACTAAGATACAGAGGTTGCGGCAGTGTTTTTCGCAGAATCACTGGGCCTAAATACAGAAGGCACAACCTACATTCCGAAGCTTTCCAAACAGAAACGAAGTCTAGTGTGCGGCATTTGCGCTGAAAGTCGGACGGAGTACTTGCCACGCAACCAGATATTAAATTATTTATGTCCCTAATTGCACATGAGTTCAAGTTAAGCAGTCTTTTGTGTGCAAATTCTATCCATAGATTAGCTAGCTTTTTGGTGACACCTGGGTACACCATGTGCATAGGATCTAGAGGAAAAGTTAAGATCATATTAATTGAAAGCGTTTCCATAATTGAATGGCCTTGATGGTGAATAGATTGAGTCTGACAACAAAAGCTGTCATCCGTTCTTAACGTATATTCACCATTTGGAAATGTCATTTTTCCCTCAAGCCGTCTCCCAAGTACAGTACACCGATCGCAACCTGCCTTACCATTGTGATTAACCGTGTACCTAACTGCAGAACGAGCAGGTGCGTCACATATTACAGAGGAAAATTTAATAGTTATGTATTGATGAAGCTTAGTACTAAATGGACCCACGTCAGTCATTTTTTTATTTCAGAAATTGTGTCAGCAGATAATTCGTTGAACTCCACCGGTTTACTATTCAACCGGAGATCCCTATCATGAACACGTCACTACACCTTGGGGCAATGATCCGTCCTAATATAGGCCATAATTGTTGATTAGAGCTCCTAGACATAGATAGTCCATCTAAATTAATATAAAAATGTAAAGTATCGAATCCAAAAGTACGCAACCAAAGTTCAACATATCTTAGCAGATTGGTTTTCAATCCGAGGTGGTAGTAAACCTCACTGCTGATGAACTTTGGTTGGGCACTTGTACACGTCCTTAGAACACTTCTGATGCTCCTTGGTACGTCCGGGACCAGGTCTCTGAAATCATTCAGAATTCGATCAGCATCACTGATACTGAGAAAGGTTTTTGTAAGGACGTGTACAAGTGCCCAACCAAAGTTCATCAGCAGTGGGGTTTACTACCACCTCGGATTGAAAACCAATCTGCTAAGATATGTTGAACTTTGGTTGCGTACTTTTGGATTCGATACTTTACATTTTTATATTAATTTAGATGGACTATCTATGTCTAGGAGCTCTAATCAACAATTATGGCCTATATTAGGACGGATCATTGCCCCAAGGTGTAGTGACGTGTTCATGATAGGGATCTCCGGTTGAATAGTAAACCGGTGGAGTTCAACGAATTATCTGCTGACACAATTTCTGAAATAAAAAAATGACTGACGTGGGTCCATTTAGTACTAAGCTTCATCAATACATAACTATTAAATTTTCCTCTGTAATATGTGACGCACCTGCTCGTTCTGCAGTTAGGTACACGGTTAATCACAATGGTAAGGCAGGTTGCGATCGGTGTACTGTACTTGGGAGACGGCTTGAGGGAAAAATGACATTTCCAAATGGTGAATATACGTTAAGAACGGATGACAGCTTTTGTTGTCAGACTCAATCTATTCACCATCAAGGCCATTCAATTATGGAAACGCTTTCAATTAATATGATCTTAACTTTTCCTCTAGATCCTATGCACATGGTGTACCCAGGTGTCACCAAAAAGCTAGCTAATCTATGGATAGAATTTGCACACAAAAGACTGCTTAACTTGAACTCATGTGCAATTAGGGACATAAATAATTTAATATCTGGTTGCGTGGCAAGTACTCCGTCCGACTTTCAGCGCAAATGCCGCACACTAGACTTCGTTTCTGTTTGGAAAGCTTCGGAATGTAGGTTGTGCCTTCTGTATTTAGGCCCAGTGATTCTGCGAAAAACACTGCCGCAACCTCTGTATCTTAGTTTCCGGCGTCTAGCGTTATCCATTTATCTGCTTGCACACCCTAAATTACATAATACCGTCGTAGAACCCGTCAAAATAGACTTAAGAAACTTTCTTAAGGAATACGAATGGTGTTATGAGTCTGAACATTTAGTTTACAATGTGCATTTGTTACAGCACCTTCCTGACGATGTTCGTGCACATGGACCTTTAGATTGCTTTTCAGCCTTTCCATTCGAGTCTTACATGAGACAAATAAAGAATTCTGTCCACAGCAGGTATGCTGTTGCTAAGCAAGTGGCTCAGCGTTATGCTGAGAAAATGTCCTTCTGCGATAGGCTTCAAGTTACATGTTCAAGTAACAATACCCCAATAGCCGTTAAGGAGGTCTCCAATCGACAAGAAATTAC